AACGAGGCAGCCACCCAGCAGATATTCATTGTATGGGTGTACCATATTTATTTAACCAATCACTTTTGACAGGCACTGGGATTTTTTCCAATGTGTATGTGGTTTTATTCCTACTTCTTCCTTTTTTTTTTTCCATTATGAACAGTGCTTTGGGCACTGTCCATGCAAATCTTTCTTGGGAACTTGCTTGGTCAAAGGATGTGAACCACTGACATTTATTGATTGATCGATTGATTGATTGAGCCAGAATCTCACTCTGTTGCCCAGGCTGGAGTGCAATGGCACGATTTTGGCTTAGTGCAACCTCCGACTCCCCGGTTCAAGCAATCCTTGTGCCTCAGCCTCCTGAGTAGCTGGGATTAAGGCATCTGCCACCATATCTGGCTAATTTTTGTATTTTTAGTAGAGATGAGTTTTCACCACGTTGGCCAGGCTGGTCTCGAACTCCTGGACTCAGGTGATCTGCCCACCTTAGTCTCCCAAAGTGCTGGGATTATCGGCATGAGCCATTGCACCAGGTGACTTTTTTTTTTTTTTTTTGATTTTGTTTTTTTTGAGACGAAGTCTCACTCTGTCACCAGGCTGGAGGGCAGTGATGCGATCTTGGCTCACTGCGACCTCTGGCTCTCAGATTCAAGCAAGTCTCCTGTCTCAGCCTCCTGAGTAGCTGGGACTACAGTTGTGCACCACCACGCCCAGATAATTTTTAAATTTTTAGTAGAGACAGGGTTTCACCATGTTGGCCGGGATGGTCTTGATCTCTTGACCTCGTGATCGGCCTGCCTCTGCCTCCCAAAATGCTGGGATTACAGGTGTGAGCCACCATGCCTGGCCACTTTTAAATTTTTTAATAGACTAATTTTTAGAGTAATTTTCGGTTCACAGCAAAATTTAGCAGAAAGTACAGAGAGTTCCTGTATATCACCCTGCTCCATACACACACAACCTGCACAGCCTCCCTCACTGTTAACATCGTGTACCCAAGTAGGGCATTTGTTAGAATCAGTGAACCTTCATTATCCCTTTAAAACCATAGTTCACATTAGGATTCACTTTTTTCATTTGTTTGTTTTGCAGTGGTTATCTCGCCCTGTCTCCCAGACTGGAGTGCAGTGGTGTGATCTCCGCTCACTGCAACCTCTGCCTCCTGGGCTCAAGCGATCCTCCCACCTCAGCCCCCCGAGTAACCAAGACCACAGGTGTCCACTACCACACCTGGCTAATTTTTGTATTTTTTGTAGAGACAGGATTTTGCTATGTTGTCGAAGCTGGTCTTAAACTCCCAGGCTCAAACCTTGGCTTCCCAAAGTTTTGGGATTACAGGTGTGAGCCATCGCACCTGGCCTTTGTGTGTGTGTGTGTGTGTGTGGCGGGGAGGGGATAGGATCGTGCTTTGTCACCCAGACTGCAGTGCAGTGTGGTGTGGTCATGGCTCACTGCAGCCTCAACCTCCCAGGCTCAATTGATCCTCCCACCTCAGCTTCCTGAGTAGCTAGTATTGCAGGTGTGTGCATCACGCCTGACTAATTTTTGTATTTTTGTGGTGGAGACGGAGTTTTGCCATGTTGCCCAGGCTGGGAGCTGACTCTTATTGTTGGACATTTATACGTTTTGATGAATGTATAATGACATGTATTCACTATTTTTTTGTTTTGTTTTGTTTTTTTGAGACAGAGTCTCACTCTATGCCAGGCTGGAGTGCAGTGGTGCGATCTCGGCTCACTGCAACTTCCGCCTCCTGGGTTCAAGTGATTCTCCTGCCTCAGCCTCCCAAGTAGCTGAGACTACAGACATGTGCCATCACGCCCAGCTAATTTTTGCATTCTTTTTTTTTTTTTTGAGATGGAGTCTCGCTCTGTCGCCCGGGCTGGAGTGCAGTGGCCAGATCTCAGCTCACTG